GGGACCAAAGAGCCAGAGCTCAACCCCCGCAAGCACAACTAGGTGAGTACAACTAGGTGAGTACACATTCTACCCGTCAATTGGTTCACATATGAACATAGAACATCTACAGAGTGGTGGGAATATTTTGGTTAAAATTAGTTTCCCTCTTGAATGCCTAAGACTACAGCAAATGTAAACATATATGATCATTCATCAGATGTTTCGGCATGCCTTGGGGACTTCTCTTGGGTGACGGTAACGACCGTCTAATGGTAACGACTGTCTAATGGTAACGACGTCTCATGGTAACGACGTCTCATGGTAACGACGTCTCATGGTAACGACGTCTCATGGTAACGACAGCTAATGACAGATGCCACGCGAGGCGCTGTGCCACACACACACACACACACACACACACACACACACACACACACACACACACACACACACACACACACACACACACACACACACGAACGTAGGCACCTAGAGTGGTTGTTCAGACCAATGCTTAACACCACCTTCACATAGATCGCAGGGTTCACCCGAAAATACAACCCGTTCTCGCAAATTTAATAAGTCAATATTGACTTATTAAATATGTGCATAGGTGACATACTTAACATAATAGATACCCTTAAAAAGATTCATAGAAAACACCGACCTTACCTAACCTTGTTAGTATCTTAAGATAAGCATCTTATTGCTTCGTAATTACAATTATTACCTAACCTATAATAGGTATAGGTTAAGTAATAATTGTAATTACGAAGCAATAAGATGCTTATCTTAAGATACTAACAAGGTTAGGTAAGGTCGGTGTTTTCTATGAATCTTTTTAAGGGTATCTATTATGTTTAGTATATCACCTATGCACGTAGTTAATAAGTCAATATTGACTTTACGAATTTGCGAGAACGGGTTGGAAAATAATATGGTCGTAGCTCAGTCGATTAAGGCAGCGTCTGGGATGCTCTCGGACGCAGGTTCGAATCCTCGTCACGGCCCTTATGGATTCGTTCATTTAATATGGTGGACATTACATATACACTTACACACCCATTGAGCCTTTCCTTCACATTTTATCAACCCCTGCGATATTGAAATTATTATTATTATTAATATTTTTGTCGATATTTGTTATTTTTGCTTAGGGCAAACACGTAGAAGTTGTGTGTGTAGAATAATCTTGACTGCTGTGGGAACCGACCTGTGAGATTTATATTTATTTAATTTATATGAATTTATATTTACGTTAATTTATATACTTCGATAGCAATTTGTATAATGATAAGTGGACTGTATTTCTGCAATAATCTCTTAATCTCACAAATCGATCCTCTACACATTAGGGGGGGTTTATATTAATTAAATATATATGCAGCCAATCCAACTACAGTATTAACTACATACATTGAAAAGGTTCCTTATCTTATAGTACAGCAGGTTAGTCCACCAGGTATAACTAGGGTGTAGACACCAAATTATCCTCTTTGAGGTAGCTTCCATCACCCAGTAACTGGTGCACAAAGTCTTCCTCGTCTTGACCTGTCAAAAGGGCGCTAGCTGTAAAGCCAGATACCTATATATGACAAGCTATATCAGAGAAAACACTGTACATGGAACCTTAAAGACCTGGCTTAATTACCTTTAGTGTGAGGCTATCTCGTGCTCTAATCGGCTAACCCTACCCAATGACATTAATGGCCACTAATGATAGATAATGGGTTTCGGAAAGAACACTTAACTTGATTTGTTGACAGCGTGTTGAAGATGGTACACCTTTGGTTTCCATAACACTATGTCCAAGTAAAATTAACAGGAGCCGTATTTGCTCCTGTGAGCCTCTGGTCTAGTATAAACAATGGCTGTCTAACACTCCATACTATTGACGCTACTGGCCGACATTGTCCAGATATGATAGGAGCCAAATTTGCTCCACACGTCTCGGAGGTGACACAACAATGGCTGCCCCTCCTTCCTCACTCTGACGCCTGGCTTACATTGTCCAGATGTCAAAAGTGATAGAAGGGTCACATTTACTCTACTTTAATATTGATAATTAAGTTAATTTATATGAGATGTTTTTCTGATGGTAAAGTCCAAAGACTAATGTATTTAAGAATAATTTCCACCATAATAGGTGGTGATTTATAATAGTATGTGGTGATGATATCCCGTTTTCTTTAGACGGTAATTCCACTACAAGTTACGTTTTCTATGGGTAACTTGTTGGTAATACAGCAGCAATTATTATCTGTCTGTATGATATTAAATGGTGTCGGATTTTCCGACAACTGCCACTTGTGTTGACTTCTACAATTCTCTGTCTTCTTCAGGTCAACTCAAGATTGCTGTGTACGAGAACTTTGGGCTCCTGACCATACACGGTGAGTTGATTGTCTTCTGGTTCATGGTATAGGATTGGTTTTTGTGAGAGTATTGGCACTGTGCCTTCTGGCTGGCACTGTGCTTGTGTGGCACTGTGCTTCCTGGCTGGTACTGTGCCACGTGGCTGGCACTGTGCCTACTGGCTGGTACTGTGCCACCTGGCTGGCACTGTGCTTGTGTGGCACTGTGCTTCCTGGCAGGCACTGTGCTCCCTGGCTGGTACTGTGTCTCCTGGCTGGCACTGTGCTTGTGTGGCACTGTGCTTGTGTGGCATTGTGCTTACTGGCAGGCACTGTGCTCCCTGGCTGCTACTGTGCCTCCTGGCAGGCACTGTGCTCCCTGGCTGGTACTGTGCTTCCTGGCTGGCACTGTGCCTTCTGGCTGGCACTGTGCCTACTGGCTGGCACTGTGCTCCCTGGCTGGTACTGTGCTTCCTGGCTGGCACTGTGCCTACTGGCTGGCACTGTGCCTACTGGCTGGCACTGTGCTCCCTGGCTGGTACTGTGCTTCCTGGCTGGCACTGTGCCTACTGGCTGGCACTGTGCCTACTGGCTGGCACTGTGCCACCTGGCTGACTCTAGGGATTATCATCTGCTAGTATTCATCCCCACAAACTATTTAAGACTGGTTTTCCAACATTATCTTGACCAATTGAGTCGTTAGCGGACTAACCGTCCACTAACGCCACTATTTAATCCATTAGTGGCACTAATGTGGCACTAATTAACAGTCTGGGTTATCCCAGGCTGGTATGTTAACTGTATGATAAATAATTTAATCAAAATCATTGAATAATTTTGTTTTCTTCCTGTTTAATTTTTAATCGTGTTCTGTGTTTCAGTCATGGCGGCCCGCAGGTTAAAATCACGGCTCTGTAGCGTGTGCAATCCTTATGTCAAGGTGAGTATACTATAGGATATACTCTCCTGGTATACAGGGGGTATGAGCCCACAGAGACATTTGAAGGATTTTTTTTTTGCTATCACTACTTGTAGAAACATAATTTCTGTCTCTCTACCTGATTCGTTCTTCCTTATACCTTACGCTCATTCTTCTGCTTTAATTTCCGTTTCTTCTCCTAAGTCTTGCGTTATCTTCCACATTTGTTTTTCCGTCGTTCGCCTCATCCCTGTTGTGTGTGTGTAAACAATATATGTGCATTGTCCCTTTGTCCAGGTGTTTATGAATTCCGTTCGGAACTTTTGATATAAGCGACGCCTTTGTTCTGCTTCAGTCATGACAGCGTTCCTCTTCCCCCTGATCTTATTCCCACTTGGCTCGCAGCGGAGGCATATTTCCTCTAATATGCCTTCTAAATGTGTCTCTGTCTCTCTCTGTCTCTCTGTCTCTCTCTCTCTGTCTCTCTCTCTCTCTCTCTCTCTCTCTCTCTCTCTCTCTCTCTCTCTCTCTCTCTCTCTCTCTCTCTCTGCTACATGCATTAATCTTCTCTCACCGAAATCCACACATTTCCAAAATTCCTTTCTGCTGCCTCAGCCATAACTCTGGGTGTCGTTGGAATGCCTAACTTACTCTTTCGTATTTATAACTCTCCTTGACTTACATCAATAACTCTCCTTGACTTACATATAACTCTCCTGGCCTTACATCTATAACTCTCCTTGCCTTACATTTATATATATATATATATATATATATATATGTCGTACCTAGTAGCCAGAACGCACTTCTCAGCCTACTATGCAAGGCCCGATTTGCCTAATAAGCCAAGTTTTCATGAATTAATTGTTTTTCGACAACCTAACCTACCTAACCTAACCTAACCTAACTTTTTCGGCTACCTAACCGAACCTAACCTATAAAGATAGGTTAGGTTAGGTTAGGTAGGGTTGGTTAGGTTCGGTCATATATCTACGTTAATTTCAACTGCAATAAAAAAAAAATTGACCTCATACATAATGAAATGGGTAGCTTTTTCATTTCACAAGAAAAAATTTAGAGAAAATATATTAATTCAGGAAAACTTGGCTTATTAGGCAAATCGGGCCTTGCATAGTAGGCTGAGAAGTGCGTTCTGGCTACTAGGTACGACATATATATATATATATATATATATATATATATATATATATATATATAATATATATATATATATATATGTCGTACCTAGTAGCCAGAACGCACTTCTCAGCCTACTATGCAATGCCCGATTTGCCTAATAAGCCAAGTTTTCATGAATTATTTGTTTTTCGACTACCTAACCTACCTAACCTAACCTAACCTAACTTTTTCGGCTACCTAACCAAACCTAACCTATAAAGATAGGTTAGGTTAGGTTAGGTAGGGTTGGTTAGGTTCGGTCATATATCTACGTTAATTTTAACTCCAATAAAAAAAAATTGACCTCATACATAATGAAATGGGTAGCTTTATCATTTCATAAGAAAAAAATTAGAAAAAATATATTAATTCAGGAAAACTTGGCTTATTAGGCAAATCGGGCCTTGAATAGTAGGCCAAAAAGTGAGTTCTGGCTACTAGGTACGACATATATATATATATATATATATATATATATATATATATATATATATATATATATATATATATATGTCGTACCTAGTAGCCAGAACTCACTTCTCAGCCTACTATGCAAGGCCCGATTTGCCTAATAAGCCAAGTTTTCATGAATTAATGTTTTTTCGTCTACCTAACCTACCTAACCTAACCTAACCTAGCTTTTTTTGGCTACCTAACCTAACCTTACCTATATATATAGGTTAGGTTAGGTTAGGTAGGGTTGGTTAGGTTCGGTCATATATCTACGTTAATTTTAACTCCAATAAAAAAAAATCGACCTCATACATAGTGAAAAGGGTAGCTTTATCATTTCATAAGAAAAAAATTATAGTAAATATATTAATTCAGGAAAACTTGGCTTAATAGGCAAATCGGGCCTTGAATAGTAGGCTGAGAAGTGAGTTCTGGCTACTAGGTACATATATATATATATATATATATATATATATATATATATATATATATATATATATATATATATATATATATATATATATATATATAGATAGATATATATAGATAGATATATATATATAGATATATATATATAGATATATATATATATATATATATATATATATATATATATATATATATATATATGTCGTACCTAGTAGCCAGAACGCACTTCTCAGCCTACTATGCAAGGCCCGATTTGCCTAATAAGCCAAGTTTTCCTGAATTAATATATTTTCTCTTTTTTTCTTATGAAATGATAAAGCTACCCATTTCATTATGTATGAGGTCAATTTTTTTATTGGAGTTAAAATTAACGTAGATATATGACCGAACCTAACCAACCCTACCTAACCTAACCTAACCTATCTTTATAGGTTAGGTTAGGTTAGGTAGCCGAAAAAGTTAGGTTAGGTTAGGTTAGGTAGGTTAGGTAGTCGAAAAACAATTAATTCATGAAAACTTGGCTTATTAGGCAAATTGGGCCTTGCATAGTAGGCTGAGAAGTGAGTTCTGGCTAATAGGTACGACATATATATATATATATATATATATATATATATATATATATATATATATATATATATATATATATATCATCGTATATATAACTCTCCTATTTATAACTCTGCTTGTTTATGATTAACTTTTTTCTGTGTGTATAGGTCTGAAGACAAATTATTATAGGACTGCAGAACTCTGCTTATTATAGGTCTGCTTAACTACTTAACTAACACGTAACCTGGTGGCCCTTGTCGCAGATATCGCTGGTGCCCGACAGCGAGGAGAGGACCTTCTGCAGGACGCCGCTCGTTCGTGCCACGAACTCCCCGATCTTCGACCAGAAGTTTAGCTTCGACTTTCTGGCCGAAGACTTGGACAAGCGCCTCCTCGTCTCCATCTGGAGCCGCGACACTCTGAGGAAGTAAGAGAATGTCTCTCTCTCTCTCTCTGTCTCTCAATCCATGTTGCGTTATTAGTATTTATATATTAGTGTTTGACTTTATATATTAGTTGACGTCCGTTAGTGATCCTGTAGAAGGTACTAACGATTTTTTTGTCTTCTCTCTCTCTTTCCCCGACTGCTCCTCCATGTGGCTGATCTCTCGTTCCCTCCTCCCGTGGCCACCTTCAGGAGGAGCGAGTTTCTGGGCTGCATGTCCTTCAGCGTCGCCCACATATCCTCCAAGGTACGTGTCCCCATGATTCATTGTACATGTCTACCCAGAATGCACCCGTCTTACCGCCCTGAATTCAAGGTCTGTTGTCCCAAACTTGAGCTCCTCCAGTGTTTGAGAGATCAGAGGGAGCAGAGTGGACTCTCTTCTCGTTTCTGGTCTGCCAGGGTCTGAAGGACTTTGTCTCATTAGAAGTTCCATTACACTCACACACACACACACACACACACACACACACACACACACACACACACACACACACACACACACACACACACACACTCACACACACACACACACACTCCACACACACACACACACACACACTCACACACACTCACACACACACACACACACACACACACACACACACACACACACACACACTCAGCCGGTGGCTGAGCTGACAGAACACTGGAAGCGTGACCCAGTGGTCCTGGGTTCAATCTCGGGCGCCGGCGAGCAACAATGGGCAGAGTTTCTTGCACCCTGATGCTCCTGTTACCAAACAGTAAATAGGAATATGGGAGTTAGTCAGCTGTCACGGGCTGCTTCCTGGGGGTGCAGGGCTGGTCGAGGACCGGGCCGCGGGGACACTAAGCCCCGAAATCATCTCAAGATAACCACACAATTATAACACTGGCACGTGAATAAGAATGTAAAAAGTTGAATGTAAAAGATGTTAAATAATGATTATACTAGTAATAATATTTTGTAAGTTTATGTAAATCACTGTTTAATATGAATACAGTATACACGCACACAGGGACCCTTGTTGTGGAAGCTGGATGTACTGACCTACACACCTGGCAAGACCAATTATCAGAAATTGAAATAGTCGTATATTTCGACGTTGTTTAGTAGTTACTGCTGAAAGTTACTTGTTTAATGTCTTTATACAAGTTAGGAGCGGGCGGCGTGGGAAGGGGGGCGGGGGGAAGGGGATGGAATGGGTTCCCAGATGTTGCAATTTGGTTTATATTGGGGGGGGGGGGGATGATGACCAGGGGGCCTGATTCACGAACCAGTTACGCAAGCACCTACGAACCTGGGGCCAGATTCCCGAAGCAGTTACGCAAGCACTTACGAACGTGTACATCTTTCCTCAATCTTTGACGGCTTTGATTACATTTATTAAACAGGTTCACAAGCATGAAAACTTTCCAATCAACTGTTTTTATTGTTATAAACAGCCTCCTGATGCTTCGGAGCTCATTAACTGTTTAATAGTTGTAAACAAAGTCGCCAAAGATTGAGAAAAGATGTGCAGGTTCGTAAGTGCTTGCGTAACTGCTTCGTGAATCTGGCCCCAGGTTCGTAAGTGCTTGCGTAACTGCTTCGTGAATCTGGCCCCAGGTTCGTAAGTGCTTGCGTAACTGCTTCGTGAATCTGGCCCCAGGTTCGTAAGTGCTTGCGTAACTGCTTCGTGAATCTGGCCCCAGGTTCGTAAGTGCTTGCGTAACTGCTTCGTGAATCTGGCCCCAGGTTCGTAAGTGCTTGCGTAACTGCTTCGTGAATCTGGCCCCAGGTTCGTAAGTGCTTGCGTAACTGCTTCGTGAATCTGGCCCCAGGTTCGTAAGTGCTTGCGTAACTGCTTCGTGAATCTGGCCCCAGGTTCGTAAGTGCTTGCGTAACTGCTTCGTGAATCTGGCCCCAGGTTCGTAAGTGCTTGCGTAACTGCTTCGTGAATCTGGCCCCAGGTTCGTAAGTGCTTGCGTAACTGCTTCGTGAATCTGGCCCCAGGTTCGTAAGTGCTTGCGTAACTGCTTCGTGAATCTGGCCCCAGGTTCGTAAGTGCTTGCGTAACTGCTTCGTGAATCTGGCCCCAGGTTCGTAAGTGCTTGCGTAACTGCTTCGTGAATCTCGTCCCTGAATTAGTGCTTCGTGTTCCACTTTCAACACTGAAGGATAAATTTGCCTTCCACCTCCAACACAGAAAACAAAATATCCCACTTGCTGCTACCTTGAGGTGCTTCCGGGGCTTAGTGTCCCCGCGGCCCGGTCGTCGACCAGGCCTCCTGATCTGATCCCTTCCCCCATTACCCGGGATTTATTGTGTTTGAATTCCAGTTGCCACCAAATGTGGGGCTGTGGTGGGTATGTGGGCCTGCGAGCCGCTCCAAGCAACAGCCTGGTGGACCAAACTCTCACAAGTCAAGCCTGGCCTCGGGCCCGGGCTTGGGGAGTAGAAGAACTCCCAGAACCCCATCAACCAGGTATCAAATGTACCAATCACGGAGCACTCATGTCCTCTGTGAGTTGAATAAAGGAGTCATGTCATTCTCAGTATCTATAGTGCTCACCTAGTTGTGTTTGCGGGGGTTGAGCTGCGGCTCTTTGGTCCCGCCTCACAACTGGCAACGTTTGTCCACATAAATACACCTCGAGAGACTAACTATTGAGCCCAGCATCTACAGATATTGAATGACTAGTTTAGTCATTATGAACCCTTTGATTCTTACCGTACCGTCATAGTTGCTCGGTACTCTTTCACTAGAGTACGTACAACATCATAAGTCCATCTTAAGTCCTTGGCGCGTCTTAAGCTTTCGTGTTGATCTCACGGTTCTGACTTGTCTCGGACTTGTGTGTGTATATATATGTATGTATGTATGTATGTATGTATGTATATATATATATATATATATATATATATATATATATATATATATATATATATTATATATATATATATATATATATATATATATATATATATATATATATATATATATTATATATATATATATATATATATATATATATATATGTCATCGATGTTAATATTTGCCTAAGAATTGTAAAAGTCTTTTATTGTGCCGCCTCCATGTCATTTGGAGTTTTCTAGTTTGGAGGCATACTGAAGATATGTACTCTGGGATGACTTATCAAGTACTATTGAAGGCCTACTTCTCTAAGTTCCTAAAAGATGTTATGTTTGTCGTCTACCAAATCAAATCTGTATTCTTCAGCCTATACAATCAGCCTTAACTGATTGTATATTTTGTGATACAATAAAACAAGCATAAATATGGTGTGTTTATGTTCATTTATTAAGACCGCAACAGAAGTCAAAGAGGCTAAGGCAGTTGCAGTGATGTATGTTGAGCTTTGAGCATGCGATCAGTGTCGTTGATCGCTATTAAGCGCCGGTGAGCTTTCTGGGACGGTTCTATCAGTGTATGAGAGGTGCTCTTGAGATGATGACCTCCCACCCGGGTCTGGCCACCAGGTTACTAGGCCAAGGATGTCTACGAAAAAGATTGATTTTCTGCAGTGTCTTGGTATGTCGGCGTAGTGTGTGGGGCAGAGCGCGGCGGCGCCCCTGCTGGCGCAATCCCGTTTTCTCTTCACTGATTTGTGTAAGTTAGTGCTGGAAGGGGGGACTGGGATTGCTTTTATAGTGTCATGCGGTGCTTGCGAGGCGGCTCTTGGGGCCTGGCACTTGCTTGTGGCACTCTTTAAATGGTCTGTTTGCACTTGCAATAATTTGCAATGGAGTGCTTCTGGCAAGCTAGAGGTCTAATGAACAATTTGTCACACCAAAACAATTTTGGTTTTGAGCTTAGGCTTGGCAGTGTTTGGATTAATTTACTTCAAAATGTAAACAATTGATGCTACCGACGATGACCTCGAGGAAATTGGGGAGTTTAATGGCGGTGGAGCGAAGCGCAAGCCCGAGCCAGGAGCAAGGATTTGGATGTGTCCATCTCCGGGACAGTGTGGGAGACCAGCATCCTCCCTCCGTCCGCAGTGTGGCTCCGGCTCCCGACCCGCCGCCACCCGCCCGCCGCCCGCCCCCGAAAACCACCCGCCCGCCCGTGCTCTCCCCTGTGTGTGTGTGTGTGCGTGTGCGTGCGTGCGTGTGTCACCCTCCCTACCCACACCCCATCATCCCCTCCCCCCCCCCCACCACCAACACGATATTCATATTAACATTCCCCAACTTTTTAAAAAAATGTTTAACGAAAGCTCTTGATGTTAGGGACTTTTTCACCGACAAAGTTTGATCAGAATCCTCATAAAATGACACGATAAATAAAACTATTAATGGATTTCCACGTGAGCTCCTTACTCTTGACATCAGTTAAGAAATCCGACGTGTAGCGGTGCCTTTTTAGTGAAGTTTACCGTGATCCACATTTCAACAAAAACGGGGACCGGAAGAGTATCAGAACATTATTGAGGAATTCAAAGAAAAATCCTTGGATTTATAAGATGTGATTCTCAAGATACTGAAGCAGTTGCGCCTGGCGGAGGCCAACGTCGTGTGCGGTGTGAAGGAACAGCGCTGTACGCAGGTAGTTCTGTGCTTCTACAGGCACAGAACTCATCGTCCTAACTTGAAGAAGACTCTGAAGGCGTTCTTGTGCGTCAGGTCTTAGAAGGTGCCGTGAGACAGTGAGACGACCAGAGACAGCCTCGAGGTGGACAATGGCTTGACAGTGGGAGGCTTGAGAAGTTAGGGCCTGGATAGTGAGCCCCTTAGTACGTCACAGTTTTGAGTAATGCCTCGATAGTGTGTCCCTCCGACACCCAGGTGGTGGATAATGATTGTGCAGTGGGAGGAAGTGACGTGAAACCTCGTCCTTTCTCACTCCCCTCCCACGGAAGCCTCCGCCCCATGCTCACCCCCACAGCCGAGCTGACCAGGATGACGGGCGGGGCAGGGTGACCTGGAGCCCGGGCTGGTGGACCTAGGGAGCAGGATTCCTGACCTAGCATTGTTCAAGACACAAATAGCTCTGTCTGAAGTACCTTTTAATTCATCTCTTTTTCCTGCCGCCTCCTTCCTCCTCCTTTCATTTGCCATTATTGGCTTTATCCTTCATCTTTTGCCCATATTTACCCTGCCATTGCTACCCTACATTTCCCTAACCTCTGGGTAAGCCACCTAGAAGAAGCAGCAGGACCTGGGAGAACTCCTCCCTCTCAGTAGCTTGCCCATCTAAATTTACAAACCACATCGGCTCACCAAATTGCAAGTCAATTGAAGATACGACATTTTGACG